AGCGAGCCTCGGAATACTTCCTTCAGCGATCGGTTAAAGGCACCCAACTTCACCGGCGCGCCGGAAACTGGATCGAAGACGAGCCCCGTCGGCACAGCCCTTCCTGCTCGATCTTCCCGCGCCGCCAACTTGTGCCAACCATCCCACAAGGCGTCAGCGGCGGACCGCGCGCCACCTAGCCGCCTCGGCAAGCACCAATCGAACGAAGGTCGCCCCTGTCGCTTTCCCTGCTTCCCCCTCGATGCGCGGAACCAGCAAAAATAAACAGACTTCTCTAAAGGCCTAGAGCGCAGCAGGTGCGTGTACCTCACCCACGCGAAAACCACCGCCAGCATCCCAGCCGCGAGCATGACTTGCCCAGGCGTTCTCGCGCCATCCAGGAAATCGATCACATGGTCAATCATCTCGGGTTCGACGACAGTGGCCTGGGCCGGCGGTGCTACGGTTCCACTGCCTGGATCACGTGGCACAGGGCGAAACGCATCGTCAGGCAGAAAGGCGCTTTCAAATGTACGCACATCCACTTCAAGGCGTTCCAGATCCTGACGCCGGACGTCCGTGCGATCGAGAGCTTATGCACGAACTCGGCGACTGCCATGGGTTGCCGCGCCAGACTCGTCGCCGGCTGCCCTTGCCGGCCCGCCCACTCGGCCCACTGCCCCCACACGCGCAAGGCCGTGCGCAGCGTCCCGGATTCGAAATTACTCAGCCTAAACACCGCCGCGGACGAGACGTCGGCGAGCATCTCGGCCTGCGCCTCCTGCAACCCCTGCCCGAGGCCGCTTTCCGGGCGCCATTCAAGCGACACTCGAACTGCGCTGACCGCCAGCTGAACGCGCCCCTCACGCTCTGCCGCCTCCGTCGCCACTGCGGCACAGCGTCTCGGCCGACCGCGGCGCGCGGCGGTAGGCCCACGCCCTTTCCCCGCCGCGGCCCCCGCGCTCACGGCGGGCGCGGCGGCCGCCGCCGCGCCGCCAAATCGCCCCTCCGCGCAAATGCCACGCGCGGGCACCAGCCACGGCGTCACCCGCGCCACGTCCCGAGCCACGGCCCAGGCCGTGGGCACTCCACACTGCTCCGCCTCGTCCGTCGAGCAAAACAAATGCGCTAAATCGCCAGCCGACTCCAGTCCCTCTCTCTGCACGAGCGCAGAAAGGGACTCGCGCTCGGAGGAATCGACCCTCCAATCTAAGAGCTCTTCGATGAAGAGCTCTCCGCGCTGCCCGGCCATCAAGCAGCACACAAGCAAGAAACAAACCAACAGCAACCGCTGTCGCCAACGCGCTTTGCTCGCACGATCCAATTGCGCGCTCTGATGCGCGCAGTCCCTGCGAGCGCGCGCGGGCGTCCCCTTCTGTCATGATTATGGTTCCCTGACCCGAGCCTCCCCGAGCCTAAAGTCAACGCAAACGCACACACGCACACGCACACGTACACGCGCACGCATACGCACACGCACACGCACACACGCAAACACGCATTCACACACACACGCACCTACGCACACTCATACACACATACGCACACACGCACATTCACACGCACGCACACGCACACGCACACGCACACGCACACGCGCACGCGCACGCACACGCACACGCTCACACACATACATACACACACCTACACACAAACACACTCTCACACGCACGCACGCACGCACGCACGCACGCACGCACACATACATACACACACACACACACACACTTACACACTTACACACGTACACACACTGACGCACACACACACACACAAGAAGCTGCTCGCGCTTCTGCGCGCCTGCTCCACAACCCCTCTCTGTACTGCCTCGAACACCATCCCTCGCGCGGGGCGCATGAGGAGGAGAGAGCCACGCTATTTGCTACCCCGCGCAGCTACAGCAGGATTGGGCTACTTTTTTCAGGGCTCCAGGAGAATGTTCATGAGGGCGGTGGCAAACATCGAGGATCACGAGGACGAAGGACGGTGTGGAGGAAGGGATGGGATACTTTCTCGAATGCAGCGGGACTGGAAGGGGTGGGGACGACAGGAAGAAGACAGGAGGGGCAGGAACGCGCGGAGTTCGCGCCTCGGACCGCCGCGGGGGGCGCGTGGGGCTGCTCCGAGGCCAGGGGGGTGCTGTGCAGGCCCTGGGGAGGAGGTGCGAGGCACACGGCCTGGACGCCGTCGCTGTGCCAGGCCGGCGCGCGCCGGGCCTGCGCGGGGAGCGGCGGCACCTGGACGCGGCGGGCTGCGGAGCGGGAGGGGCAGGCGGCAGGGACGGAAGACAGGGGGGCCCGGGGAGCGAGGGCGAGGGCCGAGGGAGGGGCGGGGGCCGCCGCCTCGGGGCCCCGCGCGGGGCGCTCGTCGCGGTGGCCGCCTGGGCCTCCCGGGTGCCTCCCGGAGGCACCTTTAAATGGGCCTCTAGAAAGAGCTCTTTCCGGAGGCCTCCTGGGCGGGGTCGGCGCAGATGCGGTCGGGCGATCGCGCCGCATCGCCGACGTGTCGCCGATGTGTCGCCGATGCAGCGACGATGCATCGGCGACGTCGGCGATGCCTCGGCGCCGTCGGCACTGAGAACCTCGGGCTCCGCATCGAGCCGCATCGGCGATCCATCGGCGAGGCGGCGCGACCCCACCTGCTCGGACCCCACCTGGGAGGCCTTGAGGCCTTCGGCAGCACTCGATCGAGAGTCGAGGGCAGCCCTCCCGTCCCCTCCGCGCGGGCCCCCCCGCATGGCACGGCCCGCTGGGCACCTCGAGCTCGGCGAGGGGGCCGGAGGGGTGGGGCCAGGCGGGCGCCGCGCCGCGCGTGCTCGGAGCTCCCCGGTCCTTGGACACGGAGCGCGCCTGGCTGGCTGGGCGGGGCTTCCTCCTGGCCGGCGGGGGGGGCGCTCCCCACCCGCCTCCCCGCCCTATGCCGAGAGAGCCGACGTCTGAGTGCTTCAAAGGCTGCTGGGACAAGAATGGGAAGCGCCAAGGTTGTCATGCGGGCTCGTAGGGGGAAAGCAACAAAAGGATGATGGCGACGACAAGGCGGGGGATGACGATGATGACAGCGTGGATGACGGGGAGGGCAGCGAGGGGAGCAGGAGGACTACGAGTAGGAAGACAGGCACGAGGACGAGGAAGAGATGGGAGAGGACACGTACGAGGAAGACTTTCAGAATCTGCCACCGTGCCCTGAGGCACGAGTTGGAGTGTCCTCAGGTCCCTGCGAGTTCTTTGTATTCAAATTTGCAGCTATTCTTTAAGGGGTCCACAGCCCGGAGTTGAGGCGCTCCGGGGTGCTTCAGGGAGTTCCCCACGTGACTTGTCCAGTGGCCCAGAGCGCGTTGTTCAGGACATGCCTATCCAGCATTGCCGAATCTTGTCTCGAGAATCGTTCTGGAGCGCTCTTGGGCGCCGCCTGGGCCGTCTTGGAAGCCCGGGAGGGCGGCACAAGAAGCCAACATCATCTACAGCTTGCCCTTTGCAAGGTTTTAGCATTACCGCCTGTTTTGTTTTCAGAGCTTCCAAGACGGCGCAAGAGGCGCCAAATATCGGCCAACAACGGCCCACGAGCCCCCAAGAGGGGCTCAATAGGCCCCCAAGACAGCCCCAAGAGGGGGAACACGAACTGACATTTTGAGCTCCCCGCCCCAAGATTGCCCCAGGATCCCCCCCGGAGGCCCCCGGGGTGCCCCCAAGAGGCCTCCAAGAGGCCCCGAGAAGCCCAAATCAGGCCCCAAGAGGCCCCCAAGAGGCCGACGAGACGCCCCCCCCAAACACCACCAAAACCGCCTCCACGAGGCTTCCGAGAGGTCCCCCAGGATATGCTCACATGCATCCAATGGGGCTTCTGACCGACAACTCAGGCACGGTGGCGGGACGGTCCGGTGTGGCCAGAAAGCGCCCCCCCCACGACGCAGATCCTGTAAGATTTCTCGGGGCGCGCGGCGCCCCTGGGGGGGGGCGGCGAACATGTAGTATGAGTATGTTGGGGTGGCGCCGACAGAAATCTAGACCCCGTTCCCTGGGCCAGCTTTTCACCTTGAGTCGTTGTGTTGACGGCCCTGGGGCCAGGCGAGGGCCCCCATTCGCCGCAGAGAGCGAAGCACCTCCGTATCGTGCTTTTTCAATGGTTGGGATGTCTGGAAGCTCATGGCGGGCCCGCTCTCTCTTTCGCTACCTCTCTTTCTCTCTCCCTCTTTCTCTCCCTCTCTCTCTCTCTCTCTGTATGCGCCCCCCTCTCTCTCTATTTATATTTAAGCAGCATGTATAGATCTCTCTCTCTCTCTCTCTGATCCCCCCCCCCTCTCCCTCTCCATCGGAGGCGGCCAGGGGGTCTGAGCTGGTTTGGCCCCGAGAAAATCGGTGAAGAGGGGGAGGATGGGGCCAAATCCGCGCAGCATCGGTCCCCCAACCACTTCGGGGGTCCATCTTGCGCGGTTTCTCACCCTGGATCCGTTGCTGACGGTCCCGGGGCCCGAAAACAGTCCTCGGAGACTGAAAAAGGTAACAACAAAAACATTCTCGAACCCAGAGCCTCGAACCTGGCCCCCGCTCCCTGCTGGCCTGAACCAGCGCTCGGGCACCTCAGACCCCCAGCCCAGCTCTACATCTTTTCCCCTTCTGAAGGGGCCCAGGAACTCACAAATGAGTAGACACACATCCCAACATTCCCAATATGTTCTATATATTTTCTGGATGTTCGTCTTCCCACACTTCCCATGTTTCCCAGACTTTCCTTGGAATTGAGATAATTGATGTCTTTGTTTTTTCCCTAATGACCTCCCCTCGACTCCAGAGGAGCAACAAAACTGCATTCACATAAACTGTTGGAGATCCGCGCGGCTTTCTTGGATCGGCGCTGGGCACCCCTGGCGGCGCCTCTGGCGCGGTCACTGGCGCGCTCCGCACGCCAGGGAGGGATGTCCAGTGCCGATCCAGAAATCCCGCGCGGAGCTCAAAACACTCAATTGCGCTTATGCCCCTTTTTATTCTTTGAGACTCGTCTGCCCGGGTCTCCGCCCACCCCTCCTTGGCCGCCTCCGCTTCAACGAGGTCGATCGAGCGACCTCCCCGCCGTCCACCTCGGGACGCGCGGCGCCGCAACTTCCCCGCGGCAGCGGCTCTATGAGGCCTCCCTCTCTCCCCCCGCAGACCTGCAACGAATTGAAACAATCAAGACAGGAGAGTCCAGAGTCGAATCGATGAGACGGATCGGCGATCGACACAAATCGGATCGGCCGGAGATCGGCAGCCAAGCTGGGAGAAGCAGAACCGGCGGAAATAGGAAGGCTAGTGAGGCCTCCATGGAGAAAACCAGATCCGAATCGGAATCGAACGAAATCGAACGGAATCGAAGTTCGAAGACGAATCGAACGAAATCGAACGAAATCGAACGAATCGGAGTTCGAAGACGAATCGAATCGGAATCGAACGAAATCGACTCGAATCGAGCGGGAGGAAGCGAAGCGAGCCCCGTCGAGACGGCGCTTTTTTTTTCTCGCCGGTGTTCGGTCTCTCCGGGTGCCTTCGCCGGGCCCTTCAGGGCCGTCAGGGGAGGATCTGGGGCGAAGAACTGGTCCCCAGGAAGTGGAGGAGGAGGAGGAGAAGGGGGAGGAGGAGGAGGAGGAGGAGGAGGAGGAGGAGGAGGAGGAGGAGGAGGAGGAGGGGGAGGAGGAGGAGGGAGAGGAGGAGGAGGAGGAGGAGGAGGAGGAGGAGGAGGAGGAGGAGGAGGAGGAGGAGGAGGGGGGGGACCCCGCGTGGAAAAACATCAAGAAACTGGAGATCTGGGTCGCGCGTAGCCGCGTGTGCAGTCCAGCGCTCCCGCTCGCCGCATGCCAGCTGCGACGTCTCTCATCGAACACCAGACGAACGGTTTCGCTCACGACCCGCTTTGCTGCTCAAGTTGTCCAGCGTACCATGCCCGAAGCGGCATTCTGGACAGGTTCTGCAGAGAGTCTGCGGTTGGCCTACTATGTTCTCAGGGCTTGCTGGAACTCTGCGCGGATCCCCGAATGTTTATGACCACGCTACTGAGGCTTCCTAGATGGGGTCTGAATAGATGGGAGTCGAAGGATCGCGCCGCATCGCCAATGCATGGCCAATGCATCGGCGATGCGTCGGCAATACATCAGCGATACATCGGGGATGCATCGGCGACGCATCGACGATACATCGGCGATGTATCGGCGCCATTGGCGTGAGGAATATCTGACCCAACGCCGAGCCGCATCGTCGATGCCTTGAGGATGCGGAACGATCCTTCGACCCCCTCTACTCGGACCCCATTTGGGAGGCCTCCCGAGGGACCCACGACGACCTCAGAAGGCCTTTCGACGGCCCAAGACGGCCCCGCGACGGCCCCAGAAACCGACCATACGGCCGAGAGGGCCCCGATACGGCCAACGAGAGCACCAGTAAACAGTAAAATGGCCCCAAGACGGCCAAAGAGGGCCCAAATGGAACCCCTAAACTGCCTCACAGGATGCCAGGACAGCACCAAGACGACTAAAACGAGTTCCAGGAGAGCTCATCAAGTCGTGCGGACGAGAGGTGTCACATGTGACGGTCTTCCTCTTCCTCCTGCTCATCCTCGTCGTCATCGTAATCATAATAATATTCCTCCTCCTCCTCCTTATCACCACCAGTACCATCATCATCCTCATCTTATCACCACCACTATCATCATCAGCATTAGCATCATCACCATCACCATCATCAACACCATCAGCATCCCCCTCACTATCATTATCACCACCATCATCACGACCACCAACATCACCATCACCATACTCCTTCTCCTCCTCCTCACCACCCCCATCACCACCACCACCACCATCATCATCAGCATCATCAGCATCATCAGCAGCATCATCACCATTCACACAACCATCATCATCATCATCATCATCATCATCATCATCATCAGCATCCTCAGTTTCAGCATCATAACCACAAACATCATCCTTGGCATCATCATCATCATCACCATCGTCATCATCATCATGAGCATATGCATCATCATCAACATCATCACCATACTTGGCATCACCATTATCAGTACTACAATCATTACCACCACCACCAACATCACCATGTTCATAATCATGTTCATACGTATTATTTTTCATATGCATATTTGTACTCAGATTCACAATCACCATCATCAACACCATCACCATCATCAACAACATCATCATCATCATCACCATCATTATCAGTATCATCCTCAGCACCATCGTCCTCATCATCATCGCAGCTCTCCCATCCTCGAACAGCCGCCACCCAGAATGATGGGCTGGCACAGTGGCGGGGCTTGCTGCAGGCAGCTGGATAATCCCGTAGGGAGCTTGCAGAATGCCTTCGGGAGGGAAGGGGGAGGACCCCCGTCGCCAAGGGTTTGCAGCAATCATGCTGGGGGAGGGGGAGAGGCGAGAGTGCATCGTCTTCGACACGGGGGATTACACTTCGTCGCCGTCATCGTTGCCGTCGTGCCACCGTCGTCGTCGCAATTTTCGCGTCGCCCCCGTCTTTCTTGTCGTCTCGTCCTCGCCCTCGCCGTCACCGTCGGCTTCGGCGTCGCTGTCCTCGCAACCGCCGTCGCCGTCCTCCTTGCCGTCGCCGTCCGCCCCCCGGGGTCCAAATGCACCAGAGGTGCGAGCGGGGTACAGCCGTGGCGACGAGGACCCCCCCGAAGGCCATCGTTACGGCAAGCTCGTGTCGTGCCGACTACGGCGATGGTTTCTGACACCGCGGGGATCGTTCAGCCTTGAACGATCGGCAGCTTTCCGATCGCCAGATCGTTCCACAATGGCCGACTCTGGGCCACTGGTGGCGCTCAACTTTGAACGCCCGCAGCGGGGTCGCGGCGGGTCGACATGGCGCGAACCTGCCGAACCTACCGTACCCCGTACCGCTGTCTCAGCTGGCCCTCCTCTGAGCCGCCGCCATTCTGGTCGTCCTCGTCCTCGTCGCTGTCTCTTGCTCCGCGTCTCCTGGCACTCGCGCGCGCGCGGCGTGCTGAGGCCCCCGCAGCGGCGGAGCAAAGGCTGCCTGCGCGCCCCTCCGATCCCGCCCTCGCGCGCAGACTCTGCCGAACCTCCACGCCCTCCTCCTCCTCCTCCTGTGCGCTGCGCGCTAAATGGCATTGGTGTCACTCCTCCTCCTCATCCTCCTCTTCTTCCTCCCCCTCTTCCTCCTCCTCCTCCTCCTTCTCCCCTCCCCCTCCTCCTCCTCCTCATCCTCCTCCTCCTCCTCCTCTTCCTCCTCCTCCCTCCTCCTCCTCCTCCTCTTCCCCCCTCCTCATCCTCCTCCTCCTCATTCTCCTCCTCCTCCTCCTTTTCTAAGGACGCTCACGATCCACACCGAAGCACCCATCTGGGAAAAGGCCTAACTACTCTGCGAGGTTTGGTACACAACACATCGTTGAGCGGTGCTGCGGCCAACCCCCGAGCACCCCCCCACCCCCACCCCACATCTCGGGATTGCACCCTCATGCCTTGTTGAGACCAGGGGCGCGTTCTGGCACCCTCTGCCCCAACCGTCATCGTCGTTGGCGTCGTCATGGTCGTGGTGCGTGTTGCTCTGCTCGGGACCTGTTTCCCCTATGCAGTGGCTACCAACACCGCTCTTCCCTCTCGCACGTGACAATTGGCCAATGGTTACGAACACCGCTGAATTCTGCCACGCAATTGCGGGTGGGTGGGATGCTTGCCCAGTCAATATAATCGGCGACGCCAACTCCTTCAAACATTAGTTACGCAACATGGTAGTCCGCAAATTGCACCGCGTATATTTATCCCACCGGAATGCGCCACATAGCACGCACCGCACGTTTTGCGTCTCGGTCGTTAAACCACGTCTTAGGGTGCACTTTTCAACTCGCAGCGCGGCAGAGTCAGTCCGCACGCGCTCGGCAGGCCAGGTCAACTGCGATGCCAATTCGCCGGGATGCAAGAAGAAGAAAAAGAAAGAGGCGGCCGCGAGGGAGGAAGGACAAAGAAGAGGAGCGCGCTCACGCGGCAAGGACCGCCGCAGGGCGCCCGGGGCGGCCGAGCCGGTGCTTTACTCCTGGCAGCGGGGGCGGGGCGGCGTCGCGCCACATCCAGGAGTGAGGGCAGCGGCTGCAATGCGCGTGCCGGGGATGGCAAAGGCGGAGACGAGCAGCGCAGACGGAGGCTCCAGGCGCAAGCGCAGACGGTGGACCTGCGGCATCTGGCATCGCGCGAACTGCTGCGGTGGTATCCGAAGGGGGTGGTGCTAGGCCCGCCAGGTACGTGACGCAGCAGAGGCGGAAGCAGACGCGTCCGCTGGGCGAGCCGAGGAGAGGCCCGCGACAGGAACCCAGCGTGCCCATGGCCGGGGTCGGAATATGACGGGGCCGGGCCGGCCGCAAGGCCAGGCGATGGGGCCGCGGTGGCGGAGGCCGGGCAAGCGCTGGGGGGCAGTGGGCCCCCGAAGCGCGGGAAGGGTAGAAGCGGTGCTGGGCCCAGGCTGGCGCACGCATCACAGCTGAGGGCAAGCGGCGCCCAGCGCAAGCGGGGCAGGGCGAGGGCGCCCGGCCGGAGGCGCAGAGGCGCAAGCTCCCAAGTCAGGGCAGGGGCAGGCGACGAAGTGTGCACACCGAGAGTGCAAATACCCACCATGTGGGGTCCACGCTGGCAACTAACCAGGATAGGTTTTTTAGACCCCCCAAACAGTGGAAGGTACTTATCTTTTTGACGTCCATATTGTCTCTCGGACTGGGGCCCCGCCCGTAATGGAACATATGTTCTCTTCACGGCACCCGCCGCACAACAACGACAACGACGACTCCGACGCCATGCCGACGACGCTACAACAACGACGAAGACTACAACTACTCGAAATAGTAGAAGCCAGTTTAGTAATCGTATTAGTAATAGTAGTGGTGGTAGTAGTAGTAGTAGTAGTAGTAGTCGTCGTCGTCGTCGTCGTCGTCGTCGTCGATTCGTCGTCGTCGTCGTCGTCGTCGTCGTCGTCGTCGTCGTCGTAGTAGTAGTAGTAGTAGTAGTAGTAGTAGTAGTAGTAGTAGTAGTAGTAGTAGTAGTAGTAGTAGTAGTAGTAGTAGTAGTAGTAGTAGTAGTAGT